TGCCACGCGGAAATAAATCGCAATTTAAACGACGACTCCGGCGGACTCGGCCGGAGGTGGCCGGACTCCGGACTACTCCGGAGTCGGAGTAGTCCGGAGTGAGGAACGGCCGCGAGGTGGCGCCGTCTGTCGGCCGCGCGGGAAGTCGGCGCCTCCGTCGCTACGTGACAGCAGGCTCCGTGAGAGCGGGAGGAGTGGGGGAGCGGCGCGAGGAAGAAAATGGCCGACGAGGCTACGGTAAAAGGGCAGGGACGTCGTGCGAGGTGCGCGCTGCGCGACGCGAGTTGGTCAGTTTCGCGATAGACCGTCGCGAAAAAGGGCCGTCGAACCTCCGCCGGGGAAGTCGCCACCCGCCGTTGCTCGCGGTGTCTCGCGTCGCGAATCCCCGTCGCGAAACCTGGACCAGGACTCCCGCGGGTGCCCCGTCCCCGTCGTCGTCGTCCGTCGTCGTCGCTCCGTTGCGCGCCCGCACCAATCCGCACGGGCGCCTCCGATTCGCCGTTTAAAAAGAAAGCGTGCGCGGGCGCCGAGTTTAGTCCGGAGAGAAACGGAAGGGCTCGCTCTCGGGTGACGGAGAGCGAGCGAGCGTGGTAAACACGACAGCCCCGTTTACTGGCGCCTCCGCCGCCCGTTTCGCTTCTTCCCGTCCCGTCCCCGTGGTTTCAGTTCTCCCGCGTTCTCCTCGTCAATCGTCGTCGCTAAACGCGTGTGTGCGTGTGTTGCCGAGTCGCGCGATCGCGTCGCCGCGCCGCGCCAAGCCGCGCCGCGCCGAGCCGAGCCGAGCCGAGCCGCGCGCGATCGCCGTCCGTGGTCTGTGAAGATTCTCTCCGCGTGCGACGATTGAGATCGATCAGCAGGTTGGTGAGTTCTCTCTCTTTCTCTCTGTCTCTCTCTGTCTCTCTCTCTCGCGCGCGCTCGTCAGGGCCACTTGTGGCCGTCCATCCACGGGCGCTTTTTAAAGGGCGTGCTGCCGTTGCCGCAGCCGCAGCCGCAGTTGCGTTTCCTCGGCCCCGCGTCCGGTCCGCCGTGTGTCGCCCGTCGTGCTCCGTGCTCCCCGAGGCATCTTTGTTCCGCCGTGCCGTATCGCGTACAACGCGTACATACGAGCGCCGGAGCGCACGCTCCGGCGAAAAGCTCCCGGAGCGGAGAAGGACGCCCCGTGTGGCCGTCCGCGCGCGGGTTGATCATTTTATTATTTATCGCCGCCGAGAGTCTCGCTCTCTCTCTCCCTCTCTCTGTCTCTCTATATACCTGTCGCGTTGCCCGAATCGGCGAACGGGCGCAGTGCGTGATTTAAAGGGATCGATTTGTCAACAAGTCGATGAGGGGGAGAGTGCGCGCACGGTGGGCCGTGGGCCCCCCTCGACGGCGAAGCGCGGCACGGCGGATTCTCGCTTCGCTTGTGAGGTATCATTTACAATTTCCGTCGCGCGCCTGCATCTCGCGCGCGTAAGCACGCTCCGATTCCGGCGTGCGGTTTGTCGTTTTGATTGTACGCAAATTCGTTTTTATTACACGCTGATAAAAGCGGAGCGCGCTCGTAATACCTTATCTGCGCCGACGGTTTTCCCTCTCCGCGATCCGCGTTTCGTGGAAAATATTTTTTATCGCGATGTAAAAGCTGTAAACGAGAAAAAAAACGGGGGAAGATGCGATAAAGATAAATTGTTAACGATCGAACGTCGAGGGTGTTTGATTGTTCGAACTGTAATGTAAATATGTATAGTCGTGTTTACCTTTTGACCGTTTTATGTGTGCATTTGGGATTGCTTGCAGATAAATCCAGCTTGCGAGCTATATCGCGATTATTAAAAATCTACGATGGCAGTTAGGTAGTCGTGGAAATCAACACTGGACATTCGCGCACTTCGAGCATATTTATATTTATTTTGAAGATGTAAAGAATACAATCATAATGAAGCCACAGAAGAAGGCTGTTGTTGCCAAAAAGGCAACTAAAATGCCAGCAGTCGCCAAGAAACGTCGCACATTTACAGAGAAGACAATGCCAGATGTGAGGAAGGAGAAGAAATCAAAGAAAAATAACAAACTGGAAGATCCAAAGAAGAAGATAGATAACGATAAGAAGAAATTGGAAAAGGTGGAGGAGAGGAAAAAGCTGGATGACAAGAAGAAGATAGAGGAGAAAAAGAAGGAGCGATTAGATAAATTAGAGGAGAAGAAAAAACAATTGAATAAGGATAACGAGAAGAAATCTGACAAAATTGATGAGAGGAAAGCGGAAAAAAGGGATGACAAAACGAGTAATGAAGAAATGAGCCAAGAGAATACGGATAAGAAAAAATTACAAAAATGTGAGGAGAAAGCTAAATTGGAAAAACAGTCTGTGGATAATAAGAAGAAAATTGAGAAAACTGAGGATAAGAAGAAGAGCGTAAAATTGGACGATAATACAGGTATGGAGGACAATGTAAAATCTTTAAGTACGCCGGAAGATAAGGACGCGCTTGAAAATAAAATCGATATCCTCCCTCCTCTCAAAAAAAGAAAAGAGAATGAGAAGAAGAAAGATGTCAAGTTAATTAAATCTGATATTAAAGCAATATCGAAGAACTCTATCGTGAAAGATAAAAAAGCGGAGCGCAAGAAAATTCAGAGCGGGGCGGAAGGCGGGGTAAGATTTCTTCTCCTAAAACGAAGAAGGACTCCAAAACAAAGCAAAGTCAGAAGAAGAGCGTTACAAGGAAAACAGTTTTAACGAAGAAGCCTCATTTGTCGGTAGTTAAAAGACTGGCGGACAAGAAGATTAAGTTAACCAAGCCGGTGAAAGATGAAGAAATGAGCGAAGATGAGGACGCGGTCAAGAAAGCGAAGAAGAAGGGTAACAACTTCGCTAAGAGTAAGACTTTACAAGAGAAAAAACCAAAGCTGGCTAAACACATGAAAGCGAAATTGCCTCAGAAACATTCGAAGATCAGTGCCGTTCTGAAAAGGGAAGATAAGTTGAAAACTATAACGGAGAAGATTATGGCCAAGAA